CCCTAGGGAAGTTTGTTGTTGCCTTCAACCTCGTTCTGACAGTTACTGTGATGGCGCTGAAACTAATCGTATTGGCATTTGCCTTTCCATTGGAGACTTTTGGCGCTGTGGAGAGGGGGGGGGCTGCTGCATGGGTGACAGCTTCTTCCCCACATATCAACCTACCCTGGCTTTGCGCTCTGGAGAGACCACTCCAGACTGACAACCAGAGTGCAACTCCATAGTCTCCTGTGACTGATGGATGCCTGCTATAGTATTAACAGGTATTCTGTTAAAGGGATTTTCTGCTGTTTAAGGTTCTTTTAATTGTGTCATTGAGGAAAGTTGTATTTTTCTACACCCAAGTGTAGTTACAGGATGACAGCTACGCTCATGGTGTCCCATCTTCCTAGCACTCTTTGTCAAATAATGCTTTGAAACTATTGATGGTTTTGGCCTCCACCACTTTCTCGCTTAACATGTTCTAACCGTCAACCACTCTGCTTGTGAAAGTGAATTTTCTTGTATTTCTTTGTTTAGTAGTTTTGTTTAGTTAGTTTAAATCTATGACCTCTTGTTCTTGAAGTTCCAGGTCTCAGGAATTCTACCCTATCAGTTTTGTTGATTCCTTTTACTATTTTGTATGTATGATCATATTGCCTCTTTTTCTTCTATCTTCTAATTTTGGCAGAGTTAATGCCTCTAACCTCTTCTCATAGTTCTTGTCTTTCAGTTTTGCTAACTCTTTAGTTGCATGTCTTTGCTCCTTCTCCAGTTTGTTGATGTGCTTCTTAAGATATGGGCACCATACAATCACTGCATATTCCAGCTTTGATCTCACAAAAGTCTTGAACAATTTCTTTAGTATTTCACTATCCATGTATTTAAAAGCATTTCTGAAATTGGAAAATGTAGCATAGGCTCCTCACACAATGTAGTTTATGTGGTCCTCAGGTGATAGTTTATTTTTTTTATCTAGAACACCCTCTGGACACACAGAGATCCCACTAACGTGATGCATCACGTTAGTGGGATCTCTGTGTGAACAAATATGGATTTGTTCACCCTCTAGATATCTTTCTTTATCAGAATTTTTTAAAGCTTTTGTTACATAATTTGTAGGTTGTGTGTGGTCTGTTTTCCTCTATTCCACATTTCATAACATGGTATTTATTCACATTAAATTCCATTTGCCAAGTGGTGCTTCATACACTTATTTTATCTAGTTCTTCTTGAAGGGCATGCCAGTTATCTACATTATTTATCTTCCCTAGTACAGTGGCACTTCAATTAACGAGTTTAATCCGACCGGCACCGAGCTCATCATGTGGAAAACTCGTCTTGTGAAACAACAACAAAACTGTCATCTGAGGTCTCCGAGAACCAGCAGGAATGCTTGTTAATCGAGGGAAAGCTCATCAGTTGAGACATATTTTCTGCGAGTGGCTTGCTCGTTACTCGAAATGCTCGTAACTGGAGCTGCTCTTCACTCTAGGTTCCACTGTATCTTAGCATCATCAGCAAATATGTTCATATAATTCTGTATTCCTTCTGGAGGTCATTTATATGGACAATGAACATTACCTGTGCAAGAACTGAACCCGGTAGACCACTCTTGACATTTCTCCAGTTAAATACATTGCCTCTGATTACTGCCCTTATTTTTCTGTCAGTAAATGTTAGAAGCCTCCCTGTCACTCTTCCAGTATGTTCCAGTTTCCAGAACAACCTCTTATGTGGAACTCTGTCAAAAGCCTTTTATTTTTTTTAAGTCCAGATAGATGCAATCAACCCAACCATCTCTTTCCTGTAAAATCGATGTGGCTCTATTATAGAAACTAAGTAAATTCGCTACTCAGGATCTTCCAGATTGAAAATCATACTGTCTGTCTGTCATTATATAATTTTTCTCCAGGTGTTCTACCCATTTTATACCCAGGTGTTCTAATATTTTGACTATTACACTTGTCAATGATTCAGGTATAAAATTAAAGGGATCTTCCCTGCTGCACTTTTGTAGATTGGAACTAAGTTAGCATTTTTCCACACATATGCTAGGACTCCTATGTACATGGATTCCTAAAAAATTAATTGAAGTGGAATTCTGAGCTTAGGTATGCATTCTCTTAGAAACCAAGGTGAAACTCCATCTGGGCCAATTGCTTTGTTCTTACTTTGCTCCTTGAGCAATTTTTTCACTTCGTCTCTAGACACCTCTCTGTGCTCTATGTTGTTCTTTGGAAGTATTGTGTCTGTACACAATTAAATCACATTAACGTGATGTAAGAATGAGAAAATCAGTAAGAGCCATGAGGAGGATTCAAACCTGCTCACTTGGTACTCCCAAGCTAACTCCCTAGACCACCATGTCACAACATGGTCAAAATCAATGCAGCCTGGGATTCCACTGAACTCCCAAGAATTCCTGAGGCACTACAGTTGAAGCTCAATCAGTAATTTTTTCTTACTGAGTCTGGTTTTCTGAAGCTTTCATTTTGCACACACTTTGGAACTGTTTGTTTAACCACCGTACTGCGCCGAGTTTATTGTGAAATTCCCCCTGTGCGCATGAAATAAAGTGTTCCCCAAAATTCTTTTTTTTTCATAAAATGATAAATTCCCTTCCCTGAACATGTCTGTATAAAAATAAATACCAAATTCGACTTACTTTGGCTGTGGGGACGTGGACAAGGTGCGCTGTGACGTCATCAGGGGTTGGTTGCCTGTGCATGACACGCCCAGACACGGTCGCGCGGGCCATTCCAGCACCAAGTGTTGCCACAAATATATTTTCAATTATTTGTTCTATGTATTTCCAATGCGGTTTTATTTGTTTTTTATCGTATATGATGCATATTTGTGTCCTTTACAATATATATATATATAGAGTTGAACATTCATAATGTTCCATGAAACTGTGATACATGTGTTAGTAATGTGTCCACGATAAATGTATATTGTCGCAATATTACTTGTTAAAAATTCACTAAAATTACAATATGTACAATTTCACACACTATTTACACTATTCACACACATACAGTAACACACTGTATTACACACTCAGTACTTCGGAAGTGAGTAATAATCAACGTAGTAGTCCATGGTACACAGCGCGACTTCGGTCTCATTGCACCAGGTACAGATAGATTTTCGCTTCCCGTTTCTTCGTTCTGTGTGCTTGCAAATAACGCACTCACGTACACCCTTGGCATTAGTACCTGTAGGTGGTATGTAGCCAAGCTTGTAAAACATTAGGTAGTCTTGAAAAGATTACAGGAAAAGATCAATTTCTAAGATAGTCGTGAAAAGATTGCTTTGTAAGGTCCCACACAGGAAAAGATTCATCCTGCCTCAAAGAGTGTCCGTCAGTCAAGACTTAACAGTCTCCGTGGTGTAGTGGTAAGACACTCGCCTGGCGTTCCGCGAGCGCTATGTCATGGTATAGCGTATCCTGGCCGGGGAGGATTTACTGGGTGCAATTCCTTAACCGTAGCCTCTGTTTAACGCAACAGTAAAATGTGTACTTGGATGAAAAAACGATTCTTCGCGACAGGGGATCGTATTCCAGGGACCTGCCCGAAATGCTACATGTACTAGTGGCTGTACAAGAATGTAAACAACTCTTGTATATATCTAAAAAAAAAAAAAAAAAAAAAAAAAAAAGATTCAGCTATTCTTGAAAATATCTATGAAAAGCACCACCATGGAAGCCGCTAACACTGTTCATCTATGCTACTTGTATCAGATGCATCATCGCTGAACACAGAAAACGATTCATCTATGTATCATCTAAATAAATTGGAAATATCATAGGTGGGCCAGGGTGGCACTCAGAGCTACAATTGGATACGCTCGCTGTATCGTCCTCATAGGTGCTGCATCACTTGCATCCGACATTTGTGTTAGGTCCTTATTGCACCTAGCTTCACCAATATTATGACCCTTATGTTCTTCAAACAATAAGGTTTGAATTTCACCGACAGAGCGCAATCTTTCAACACTGCGTCGGATAGCTGTTTGGGACCCAGAGGTGCGTGCGCCACCCATGGTTGCTCATTCAGTACTAACCCAGCCATCAACCAGCCAGCAGCCCTAGGGCATTCTGGGAATTTTTTCCAAGATGGCTGCATTTCACTGGAGGTCCTAAGAGTCTCTTTCGTACACAACCAACCTCGCACACATTTAGAATGGGTACGAAAAAATCAGAGTTTTCTCGGTTGACGCAGTTTCCCACCAACCGAGAATACTCGGTTGGCGCAGTTAAGTGGGTAATGTTTCACACATTTCCTTTTCATTTTCTGTGAATCTGTTTCCCATTTTCAACCTCTGAATATTGTCCTTTATTTGCAGTTTGCTTTTAATAAATTTATAGAATAGGCCTGGTTCTGTAATACATTTGTTTGCTATCCCTTTTTCAAAATTTCAAAATGTGTGGTGTTCATAATGTGTTATGTCTTTGTTTTTGTTTGTTGGCTAGGGTTTTCCAATATGTACTGAGTGCTTGTATATTTAATGATGTTTTCACTGATGAAGTCCTGCCAGTATGTGTTGAAGACCCATTTCTACTTTGTATTCCTTGTAGTTTCATTTGATGTTTTTGATACTAGGGATGAGTGGGTATATTAGAGCTTTGTATAAGTGTATCTTCACCCATGTTTGTGAATGTCTTAGTCTGTATAGTTGTTAAAGTGATTTCTGTGTGATTTCATGCTTTGGGGTGATATTTGTGTGTATTTGTAAGTTTTTATTTTTGTTGGTGAGACAGGTATGAATATGGATGTGGGAGATTGTGGATAGAGTTTTAGTGGAGCTGTGCTTTCTCATTTGTTACAGAAATATATGATTGTTGGCTTTGTCAGGTTTGTTTGGAAACACCAATTGTATTCCCATTGTATGATTCCATCAATTTTATCGTGTACTTTGTGAGACAAATTGTTATTTATTGTCAAAGATTCTGTACTTTGTATATATTTGTTGACTTAAAAGACCTGATGATATCTCAATGTTTTCTTTTGCAGTCCAGAAGTCAGAACAACAGCAACATTTGCAGTTCCAACACTTGCTGGCACTAGAGCTCATATGTCAGAAATACTGCATACACGATCAGGTCATCAGCAGTGTCGTGAAACTCATTACTGTGTCAGAAATACTACATGTGGGGTAAGACTTTGCCTTGAGACCATTTAAACATCTGAATTATTACATCCACATCTGCAACATCTTGTGGATGGATGTTTTCTCAACACCTTCAGATAGTGTCATGTGGTGCCTTATCACCTATTGTAGTAAAGCGTTTTTCATCTGAAGAGTTGTCTGTACATCTGTTATCAACATCTGATACACTGTGCTACTATGGGAAATATGTGTATTTAAATACAAATCTAGTGTATCATATATATTACGATCTCACTATTTATTGATAACAAATTGTGTGTAAGTATTAAATATGTTTCTTAATTTTATTTGGTTAGAAAACATTTCAAGGTTATGTAAATGATTTTTTGGCAGGATAAGTTTATTCTTGGTTCTTAGTGTCACAGTAAGTTAATATAAATATTTTCCCATTCCAAAACATTAGACACTATTTCTCCTAAATGAACTTTTGTATGTTTTGTAAGAGAAAAAATGAACAAAAATCCATATACTATATAGTAAATATAGATTCTTATTTTAGGTAATTTGATCTTAAACTTAATAGGGTTATCTAGATAAGATAAAATATCAGTGCTCTTAGTGTTCAGAAATTATTTCTTTCTTGACATGAGGGTATAGTGGATTTGATATATTAAATATAAATATAAAAATCTGACATGTACATGGTACACCTGATAGGTATATTCTTGTAAATATAGAAGACACACACACATTCACACAAATGACAAGCCACATAAGGTCCCATATTATGCTTGATCCTTGTGCTGCAGCTATATGTATAATAAGATATTCCTCAGTACACTAAAAGAAATATATATAATATGTATTTTCTCTGGAAGTGATACAAAGTTAAAAGGTATGATTTTGAAAAATTAAAAAGAAAATCTTGTCACATGATTTGTTTGGTATGTTTTAAAGTCATCCACAGATGTTAATTTTGCTGCATATGCAAGTGCATTTGTTTGTAAATGCTTTCATATTAACTAATTCACAGGAAATATTGTACAGTATATTTAAAGTCTAGCATATTATACAATATACAGCACAATATTTTCTTATTTATGAATCAGTAACACCAGTGGCTTACATACAGTATTGTACAATTTTGCATACTTTTATGTCCTAATAAGTAATTAATTTGTTTGTATTCATACCAAATAGAAAGGGATTTTTTCCAGTAGTTTATTTGATCTCCAGTGCCGTCAGTTGACAGCAGAGGTAACGCTTCATAACCTGGCTGCTCTGCGCTGGCTGCCAGGTAGTATATAACTTGGATTGTAGGACATGTAATTAATGCAAGTATTAGGCATCCTTAACAACATTTGCTTTAGTAATACACACAAACTCGTGCTGGTTAAAACCACATCATAAATAAAGGTTATTAAGACTTTTCTCTAATATTTATGAAGTAAACAAGAATTTACTCTGGGGAGTAATGATAAATATCAGTGTCTTCAAGACAAATGAAATATTGTATCCTACATTTTATTTGTAGAATAAAAATACTAAATAATATTTAGCATTTTTTCTATTAAATAGCTTTTCAGATCTATACATTTTAAACTGTACACAAATTTCTTCAAAAGAAAAACCTCATCAGTGTTGAATTTTCAAAAACAATATAATAAAGCATATCATATAATAACATACAAGACTTTATAGAGAAAAAACTCAATGTTAAAGATTCATTGTTTAAAACATTCAGAAATACTGTATCAAAGTTAAATATGAGTGCTCATTCAGAAGAGAAACCATATCACTGTTCTGTATGTCTAAAAGACTTTTCACAGAAATCAAATCTAATTAAACACACAAGGATTCATACAGGAGAGAAACCATATCACTGTCCAAAGTGTCCAAAAGACTTTTCAGATAAATCAGCTCTTATAACCCATATGAGGATTCATACAGGAGAGAAACCATATCACTGTTCAGAGTGTCAAAAAGACTTTTCACAGAAATCAAATCTAATAACACACATGAGGATTCATACAGTAGATAAGCCATATCACTGTTCAGAGTGTCTAAAAGATTTTTCACAGAAAGGAAATCTAATGAAACACATGAAGATTCATACAGGAGAAAAACCATACCACTGTTTAAAGTGTGTAAAATACTTTTTAGAGAAATCAAGTCTAATAAAACACATGAGGATTCACACAGGAGAGAAACCATATCACTGTTCACAGTGTCTAAAAGCATTTTCCGTTAAATCAGCTCTAATAACACACATGAGGAGTCATACAGGAAAGAAACCATATCATTGTTCAGTGTGTGTAAAAGACTTTTCGCAGAAATCAAATCTAATAACGCACATGAAAATTCATACATTAGATAAATCACATCAGTGTTCAGAATGTCTAAAAGACTTTTCACAGAAATCAACTCTAATAAAACACATGAGGATTCATACAGGAGAAAAACCATATCACTGTTCAGAGTGTCTAAAAGACTTTTCAGAAAAATCAAGTTTAATAAAACACATGAGAATTCATTCAGGAGAGAAACCATATCACTGTTCAGAGTGTCAAAAAGATTTTTCAGATAAATCAGCTCTAATAACACACACGAGGACACACACAGGAGAGAAACCATATCACTGTTCAGAGTGCCTAAAAGAATTTTCACGTAAATCAAACCTAATATTGCACATGAGGATTCATACTGGAGAGAAACCATATAATTGTTCAGTGTGTCTAAAAGACTTTTCACGTAAATCATGTCTAATAAAACACATGAGAATTCATACTGGAGAGAAACCATATCACTGTTCAGAGTGTCAAAAAGACTTCACACTTAAATCAAATCTAATATTGCACAGGAGGATTCATACAGGAGAAAAACCATATCATTGTTCAGAGTGTCTGAAAGATTTTTCACATAAATCAAATCTAATATTGCACATGAGGATTCACACAGGAAAGAAACCATATCACTGTACTGTGTGTCTAAAAAACTTTTCACAGAAATCAAATCTAATAACACACATGAGGATTCATACAGTAGAAAAACCATATCACTGTTCGATGTGTTTAAAAAACTTTTCACAGAAAACAACTCTAATAAAACATAAGAAGATTCATAAGGAGAAAAATAATATCACAGTTCATTGTGTCTAAAAGACTTTCCAGTTAACCCTTAGACAACGGCTATGGAGAAATGTTCATACCTCAACTATTATGCTCAAAAAATAAAAAAAAAAGCCAACAAATAATTTTTCATTATAGAATTATTAACTTCTATGCAGAATGTAAGAAAAATACAAAAATAAGTGAATATTTATCGTTTTACTGGGTGGAGGTGCTCTGTAATACACTATTCTGGCACTTGTCAATGCCTGGTGCTCAACTTTGCTAACGCTTCATGTTTTATCCTCCGATGTTTTACTGATTGTTTTACCACTTGTTTTTCTTTATTTACATCCACAAAGAGCTTTTATATATACTGTACATCCATATTAGCATTATACTGTACATGTATGACCCATACAATAATTGTTTATTATTATTATTATTATTATTATTTATACACTCTAAACAAGAGTGCTTACATTCTTGTAAAGCCACTAGCATGCATAGCATTTTGGGCAAGTCCTTAATCCTATGTTCCCCGGAATATGACCTGCCAAATCATTTAAGAACGCGGTACCCATTTTACTGTTGGGTAAACAGAGGCTACAATTAAAGATTGACGCCAAAAATGCTTGCGAAATGCCAGGCTAGTGTTTTACCACTTCACCATGGAAACTGACAGACTGAGGTTTAAATCATCATATGATGATGACCTCATTCTCCTAGTAACATTCATGATGATAACTGCATTTGTACCATGAAATGGTAGCAGGATTTTTTCCCGGGTCAAGGTAAACTTCATTACTTCCACATAAACCTATTAGTATATCCATATTTGCATTATACATGTAAAACCCTGACAATAATTTGTTAAATCTTCATATGATGATAACTGCATTAACCTGTAAATCAGCAATTGACCATAACGGTTGTCTAAGAGTCAAATCACATCTAATGAGACACTTCAAGATTCATGTAACAAAAGCAGTGTCAGTGCTCTGTGTCTAAATACTTTTCATGTAAATTAAGTCTAGAAAGACATGAAACTTCTGATGGGAAAACAATAGCATTCGATAGTAATTAAGTACTACTAAATTTCAATAATGTAGTAGAGTAGAGCTGGAGTAGAGAAGTGCTTTTTAAGAAGTTACAGTGCTTTTTATTGTTCCAAAGACTATTCATAAGCTTGATCTAGTTCTCCCCTCTTAGGTCCTACATTTTCATGGCTGGTGTACATAGTTTCAACCCCCACTTTCCTATCTGTTAGGGCAGCAAATGGGCTCAGGTGTTCCCTGTCTTTAGTACCCCATGTGAACCATTGAACCAAAAGTCGGTGGAGTGGTCCGTGAGAGAATATTACCCTGTTTAGATGAATGTTAGTATCCAAGCCAGGGTGTGAGGGTGGAGGAAGTCTTTGCATCTGTGTAGACAAATAAACATTGCAGTAGGTTTTCCATCTTGAAAAAAGGGATAGATGAGGATTTATTATTAAGACTAAATGATTATTGGGTTTAAGGCCTATTATTCTCTTGAGGACTTTTAAGACTGACCTCCAGATACATACTTTATTCCTGAACATATTCCAGGACTAATGTAAACTCAGTACAGTAACACCTTGACTTACAATTGCCCCGACTTACGATAATTTCGAGTTATGATGTAAATTTGATCGAAAAATGCGACACGACTTACGATAGTGTCGTCAACTAACAATATTTGTTGGTACACGTTTGGGTTGACCGAGTGCGTGGTTCCCGGTCACGCGGGCCAACCTGCCTCAGTTTACTAGAGCTGCCTGCTTAGTGATGATCACGCCTATAAAAAATTCAGTTTTTGTGGTGATATTTTGCTTTTTGAACATTAAACTGATTATTATATATTTTTTTTTTTTTTTTTTTTTTTTTTTTTTTTTGAGATATATACAAGAGTTGTTACATTCTTGTACAGCCACTAGTACGCGTAGCGTTTCGGGCAAATCCTTAATCCTATGGTCCCTGGAATACGATCCCCTGCCGCGAAGAATCGTTTTTTCATCCAAGTACACATTTTACTGTTGCGTTAAACAGAGGCTACAGTTAAGGAATTGCGCCCAGTAAATCCTCCCCGGCCAGGATACGAACCCATGACATAGCGCTCGCGGAACGCCAGGCGAGTGTCTTACCACTACACCACGGAGACTGCTAATATATCATGCCATGGGTCTCAGAAAGTCAGTGGTAAGGTTCAACCTAAGATAATAGTTGTGAGTTGAGGCAATAGAGGATATCCCTTCCTCATTAAGAAAATGTGTGAAGTAGGGCAACCCGTTCTCGCAAATTCGTAAAGTCAATATTGACTTATTAACTACGTGCATAGGTGATATACTAAACATAATAGATACCCTTAAAAAGATTCATAGAAAACACCAACCTTACCTAACCTTGTTAGTATCTTAAGATAAGCATCTTATTGCTTCGTAATTACAATTATTACTTAACCTATACCTATTATAGGTTAGGTAATAATTGTAATTACGAAGCAATAAGATGCTTATCTTAACATACTAAGTAGGTTAGGTAAGGTCGGTGTTTTCTATGAAGCTTTTCAAGGGAAACTATTATGTTAAGTATCTCACCTATGCACATATTTAATAAGTCAATATTGACTTATTAAATTTGCGAGAACGGGTTGCAACGGGGAAGAACTGCAAAGTTTTGTTGAAAAAACTCGCCCAGATAAAGCTGTAGCAGGCCGTTCCATTGACCTTTTAAATGACAATGTGATGTCTTACTACAGACAAGTGTTAAAATGTAGGGAAAAAAAGTGTTTTTAGACATTCTTAGTAAGACAAGCAAGCAGTGAGCCACAAGCAGGTCCTAGTGGTATGTAGGGAAAACATGCCAGTGTGTGCACACCAGAGAAGTCCTCACTGCCTGATGTTACAATAGAAAGGGGCTCCCCTTTCAAACAGTAACACCTCTCCTCCTCCCCCCCTCATCACCATCTTCCATACGCCATCAAGAGTCCTCCATAAAAGTAAGATAAACATATGTACTGTATTGAAGTTAGAAAACAAAATTGTATTCAGTATAAAATGTATTGTAAGTTAATATTTTGGAGGGTGGGGAACGGATTAATTCAATTCCCTTTATTTCTTATGGGAAAAATCGCTTCAAATTACGATATTTCGACTTACGATCAGTCTCTGGGAACGGATTACCATCGTAAGTCGAGGCCCCACTATATACATAAACTAAGAAGGTGGGGGTACACTACTCAGTGTTTATATCACTTTATGGATTATAATTTGTTTCACAAATGTGTATATGCCTTTGCAGTACTCAGTACTAGCATACATACAGTACTGTGAAGAAAGTGGGATATTGTTGACATCCTTATGGTAACTTATTAATTTACTTCAGTCTCTGGTTTGGTGTTAAGCCCTATTAACAGCTCTCTTATATAATGTCAAGAATAAAGGGGCAAGTTATTCTGATGTATGTCAGTGAAAGGAGGACATATTTACAGATCCGAGGTACAGTGTCTTGAATGATCTTAACTAAATTACCTTAGTGTATGGTTAATGATACTATCCACAAACATTTAGCCTATAAGGGGTTTTAGAGAAATCCTATATGGTTTGCTAGGGAACAGGAGACATCTTTGAAGCTGGCCGGTGATTTTCATAATCCATATGTAATGCATATATTTTCCAGAGCAAAAGTGGAAATCTTCAAGAATCTTCTGGGAAGAAGTGCCAGACCAACTGGGTTGTATTGAATATGTGGGTTTGTGGGCTGGTCCAAGCAACAGCCTGCTGGACTAAGCTCTTATAAGTTAAACCTGGCCCCGGGCTGGGCTTGAAGAGTCGAAGTACCCCCCAGAACTTCATCCAGGTACAGTCTCAGCCATAAGTCCCTTTCTGTTTTGGATATATACATGGATTAGTAACACTGTTGACTGGGTGTCCATGAACTGTTATGAATTCCCTATTTACATTACATCGGATATGGACAAATATGCTGGGAATTATATTGGATTATAAATAAGTATTTGAAGTATATTTATGGAGTAAACATTGTTCCACAATATGTCCTGCTCACTAATATATAACATTAAATTTAGCTTACCAGGGAACATATGGCAAGAAGCTGTTTTTTGTGTATAATAGTAAATGACATTGTATTATGAATGAATGATAATAAATGTTTCAAACATTTTCATTAGTCAAAGAATTATTGCATTCTATTTTCTGGTTTATGCTTTATTTGCCTTTGTCATTTGTTTGTTTCATTATGCATGTACAGTATATACTGTATTTGTTTATATGCACATAAATACACGTTTACACCATAAATTACATTTTCAAATACCAAATACAATACTGGTATGTTGATGTTTAAGATTCAAAAGATTTGGCATATCAAAAGTTTATGACAATATTCACAATGACGTGAAGGAAATGTCATCTGAAACAAGAGCACCCATTCTAGTGTCTGCCACATTATGAATGTAAGAAATTGAGATGAACCAGTAGCTCCATGAAATATTCTAATTACATCCAAGCAAGTTAACTTTGCTGTCTCACATTATCAGTAAACCTATTTCCTATTAAATTTCCACATTAATTTGCTTTATTGGACTTTTGGTTAGTAAAATATAATCACTTTAGTGTATTTTGTTTAATATTTCAAGATTAAATTGTTTGTTACACATACGTTTAAATGTGCCCTGTTAAGACTATGTGAACATAATAACAGCCTTGCCGTACGGCACGCGTTCTTCCGTGGTGCCTCCTTGCCATGGTGAGGGGCTCACGTACACCTCCCTGGGACCGGTGTGGGTTGCCTTTGCCCTCTCTCCTGCCCCCTCTTTGGGTGCTGTACGTGCTGAAGGGCACCACGTAGGGGCCTTGTGAGCTATCGAACCACCTGCTGGAGGGGTTGCCCGTGAGGGGCCGCCCTGAGTGGATGGTTGGGTGTCCAGACTGGGGGGAATGGGGTCTTAGCACCAGTGTGGGAGAATGGACGATGTAGTAGGACTTCCCTGTTGAAAAGGAGGAGCACCACTGGGGACGACGCACCCTTCCTACACTGGCCCGCGCTTGGCCTTCCTGGCTGCCCTGGTAGGTGGTATCCCTTGGTTCCAGGTCCCAAACTTTTGAAATTGTTTGCTGCATGGATGACGACACGACTTCTCTTACCCAGGCTCATGGGGTGGGCGACCAGGCCCCTGAGTCAGACCGTTCTGGAAGACCGGGCTCTATAGCCCCCGTTACAGGGGGCTATAGAGCCCAGATCTATAAATAGAGCCCAGATAAATCCAGGGAGGTTTAGGCCCAGATCGGACTCTTCCTCCCTGCTCCCCTCCCTCCTCTGTGGTTGGGTCGAGCCCCAAGCCTGCTGTGGTGACCGCCTCGTCCCCTTGCACAGCTCCATCTCTTATTGTG